GAGAGGGATCTGAAGTTCATTTATCAGTGATTAGCTCAAGCCTATGTAATTTTTAACTGGAAAACAAGGAAACGCAAGGCCCAAAGCTGCCCTCCCCCTTGGAATTCTGAGTAATATTAAACCTGCCTCCTGTCCACTCCAAGTAGATCAGTGCAGCAAGCGCACATGCCCACTCAGCAGATAGGGTTTTACAAAAAGCCAGGCAAATCACAAGTGTCACTCGCACGCACGGCGGCCTCTCGTGGCCAAAGGGATGAACATCCCAGTAAGTCTGTTCATTCTCCTCCCACAGCATCACCGAGCAGCCTTGCCAAGACAGAAAGACCTCCCTGTGCAGGGACATTTTGCTCTGGGACACCAAAGGGGCATGCAAAAGCAGCTTTTCCTCATCCTTCCCATGGATCGCTGCCTTCAGTGGAAATACACACAGGGCTAGAGCACAGAGTCACAATTCCCCCACCGAACCAGGCTCAAAATTCTAAGCGCTCCTGCCCAGTCCAGGAATTACTAGAAATGTGGATGAGGGGTAAGAAGTTAGCCATGAGCCATGGAGCCAGTATTGCTCACCTCGAGAGATCAATCATCATAGGATTGAAAAAACAATCATACTATTTTTTCAGGCCTTTGATTTCTGAATACCACCCTCCACCCAGCACGGGGTCTCTGTGTGTCACATCAGGGTTACCAATACTTCCCAATGTTCTGGTTAAGATAATTTGGCCCCTGCTACAAGAGCTCTGACCCCCATCTCTGCCTGCCCCCTGCCTAGCAATCAATCCTGTCCCACCCCAGCAGATCAGCCCTTCTACCCCCATTGTTTCAGGCCACCCAAATTCTTCTCTGCTTCTCCTGGGTTCCTCATCCCCACTCCCTGGCCTAGGAGGGCAGCAGTGGGGTGGGACAGGTGTAGGGGCTCCTCACCTGCCCCCTGTGCGCAACACTTCTTACTGGGAGGGCAAGGGAGGAGGCACGGGCAATGGGTATCATAGGCAGGGGAAGGTGTTGCCTTCCCAAACCATCAGCCTGGCCCCACCCATACTCTGGCCCCAGAGCACCTACTGTAGGCATTCTACCCACCCCGAGCTCCAGGGCCAGAAAGGCTTGGGTGGCGCACGGCCCCATCTCCCTGTGACAAGGGTGTCTGCCCTAGGCAGAAAGGGCAGGACTGGAGGCTTGCTTTCCCCAGCCCTACCTTCACCCACCACCCATGGGACTATGTGTTGTTTTTTAAGGATAAGAACAGTCCACGTTAATTCAGAAAGTGAGAGCAGAGAGCGAGTTCTGAAAAGAAAAGGGGAAGTGTTGAGAAGAGCAAGCCATGGATATTTTGGGCATTTCTGAAAACAGCCCCTTGCAAAAGACTAATCCATAAGCTTAGTTAATTAGCATCTCTGCTTGAGAACATTAGGAACAGGTTTAGCTATCAAACACATAGGGCTTTAGCACGCATTAGCAGTTGCAAATGGAGGGAATTAGCAGGAGCGGAGCCACAGAGAGCAGTAAATGAGACTCAGTTTTGTTTAACGACCTGAGAGAAGGAAAGTGCAGTTGGCTGATGGAATTGACTGAAGTTAAGGCTAGGAGAGAGAAGGGAGCTTTCCGTAGAAAGGAAGAAGTCAGTAACATTCAGAATGATTTGGACACAATAGATGCTGTTGTTCAGTATAGAATCCAGCACGCCAATAACGCTAGGGGCATCCAGTGGAAAAAGAGAAAACACAGATCACAAGACGATATGCTATCGAACACTGAGGAGCAGAAGGATCAGGAGGAGTGGCACCAGCAAGCCTAAAATCTTTGACACAAGCTGCAAAGGCAGAAAAAGAATGGAAGAAATGCCAGGTTACATACAGGGATGAGGAAATGAGCTTGGGGGCTTATCTGGGCCTCTTATGGAAAACACTCTGCACCCCTGGAGTCACTGGGCAAAGCAGAGCACAGAAATTGAGACAGTCCAGAGAAACGGACAAAGGCTGTACTTTAGAGGGCAGAGGATCTTAAAAGCCCTGTATTCTTTGTGAAAGAAAGCAATCCTGCTCCCATTTAAAGCAATGGGGAAACTCCAACGAGAGCAGAATAGGCCATTAGAGGGGAACTCACTGGAGCGGATGAAATTCTGTGCGGATTGTGCTGCAAAAAGTGTTCAAAGCCTGTGTCAGAGACAAGAAGCAGACCGAGGACATGAGCTTAAAGGAGCACAATGGAAAAGAATTTAGGCAGAATGTGTTTATATGGATTGTATTTATCACATGGGCTAGATGGACCCAGAGAGAAAAAGAGGAGACATCGATTAACCCTCTTATCACTTCTGTGGGGTACTATCCCCATTACAGAGATGGGTAAAGAGGGAGACAGTTAAATGCTTTACTCAAGATCTTTCAGTGAGTCAGTGGCAAAGCTGGGCCCAGATCTCAGGAGCCTAGAACCATTTTCCTCTGTCCTAACATTTATTAAGCCTACTGTCAAAGCTGAAGGGGGCAGACCAAGGGAAAATGAACTAAGTCAGCCGTTCACAACCAGCGGTCCAAAGCCCCCAGGAGTCCACGAGCAGTTTTCAGGGGGTCTACCAAGTAGGGCCAGGATAAGACTTGCTGAGACTCTAGGTGGAAAACTGAAACCCACATGCATGGATCTTAAGCCTGGGGCCCTGAATCCTGACTCATGGAGCAAAAACCGAAGCATGGCACCCAAGCAACTTCCCTGCTTGCTACCCCTTAACACTGGCCCAGGCTTTTATATGCAGAAAATCAATTAGTGGCACAGCTGGCCTGGTGAGTTTTTATAGCATGCTAGGGAGGTCCCCCAAAAGAAAAAGGTGAGAGCCCCTGGACCTAGAATCATTTTTGTTCTGTGGTGCTTAGCTATTTTAGTGGGTCATCTGGTTCCAAGACATCTGCAACAACGAGAAAACAAGAGGGACAATCAAGGACAGTCTGGGTATTTTTAAAAAAGCAGGACCATTTCGTTTTTGCAGTATGCTCATGTGTTTTCTTTTCTCCTTTGTGGTTTCAGCAGTGTTCCTGATAAGCCCTCAGTAGTGCTGTTTACAGGAGCAAAGTACAGTCTCCCACACACCAAAGAGCGTTTTTCAGCTTGCTCCATGCAAATAGGAATCCACCCAATCTTCCGACCTGCACTAACTTCACAAACAAAGGAGGCCAAAGAGAAGCAATTGTGGGGACCCTTACTTAAGCAAGTCCAAAAAGAGATGCCATTTCGCTGCAGCTATGAGAGGGTCACAGTGTTGCTGAGATCTCAGCTCTGGATTTGCTGGAACAAGCTGCATTGTATTAGCAGCCTTGGGCATATCAGATGTAATGCCCCTTCCTCTCCCAATGACACCCTAGCTGACGGTTGCCTAGCTATGCTCACAAACAGATCCCCAACAGAATCTGCACCTCCTGGCCCGAAGGAAAGCCCAGCTGAACTTTTTCACATTCCTCCCTCCCCTGAAATATTTCACGGATAAATCAGAAAGGAGGTGTGAAGTTGGCACTTCAGAAGTAACCTTTTTTGATTTCATCCCATACAAGGCTTTTTCTACCCAGCACACATGATCCACAGGTTTTATCCCCCTGGAAGCTTTGGAGAGTTATATATTTATACACACACACACTCAACTTGTTCAAGTTAATAGCATTCCTGGGCTATTGAGTCAAAAGGCACTCCACCAGCGGGAATTCTGGGCAGGCAGGAGAGGGGGGGAGCATGGACTGTACTGAAAAAAAGTTCCTTTTTTAACAACAATATTTGTCACTTAAAATTGTGCTTCTTTCAGTGGTTATGCTGGCAAGTCTTAGCTCTGATTCAAACCTAACGGCAAACAGAAATGGGTAACATGATCCCTGCACGAGGGTTTTGCCCAGGGAGGATTAACGAGACAGGGGCAAGCTGACGTTGGAGGCTACATTGACATTTATGAATGTTTCAAGAGCGTGGTGGGTGTTGCTTGGCAATTCATAAGTAGAGAAGTGGAGCCAGCTAACAACTGTCGGGGAGGATGTCAAGGACTGGGCACGCAGAGGGCTGGTACAGCAAAGGTAAGATCTGATTTAGTTCCTACCATAGAGGTTTGCTTGATTTACCCATTAGTTTTATTTTTGTAACGTCAAGGTGCAGCGATTGCAAGGCCTATCAATGCAATAGGAACACAAGGTGGTCAAGAGCTGACAATCTCAGGGAAGGAGATGCCGAGAAGTCAATAGTGGGATTCTAAATGAGTGTCTCGGTGAAACAAAGCCCATTCCATGGAGGAGACTTTTAAAAAAGTGTCTTAAAGTTCATTCAAAACCCCAGAAATGTGTACAGGTTGAAGCCCTAAAATCCAGGACTCTCTGGTCCAGTAGCATCATGGATATTGCTGGACCAGAGAGATTCCCAGTTGGCCAGGTTCAGAGGAGCCGGCGCAGTGGGGAGCAAAGTGTGGTGGCCAACAGTGCAGCCCCAGCCGGGTCAGAGGCAGCGGGGCCATCACAGCGGGGAGTGCAGCTGTGGCCGAGCTTAGTGGCCAGAGCTGACAGCTAGGAGAGGAGCCCCCCACACCTCTCCTGGTCCGACAAACTCCATGGTTCAGGACCACTCAGGTCCCTAAGATGCTGGACCAGGGAAGCCCCACCTGTATAGACTTGCCTGTATGATACATCTCCTTTCCGTAGCTATATCTTGTGACAGTCTTGCTCTATCTAGTATGATGTTTTTCCACTCCTTTGTGGATGGTGTTCTAGAGCAGTCTTTTATGCTGGAAAGAGCCTCCTCACAGGGTTACTCAATCACCATTAGGGAGTAGCTGGTGTCATCTTCCACTTCTGCACTTGCTGCAGCTGAACAAGGCCAAAGCTGCCCTGAGAATCTGGAGGGGGAGAGACACAGCTACCGCGTGAGGGACTGAGGCTAGGATCTGCCACCACTGGAAAGGAAAGGGCATCTGCAGCAGCAGAACCTGATTGGCAGAGCCTGGCTCATCTCCCCTCTGCAGTCTCTGTTACATTCTTTATAGCCGTGATAGGTCAAATCACAGAAGTCCCCTTGGAGTCGTCCCCCAACGTGCTGATCATTCCACAGTCACCCAACATCCTGGGTGTCTTCCCACCTCTCTGTCTGATTGGCCAGATCCTCTGATCTCCCCCAGGCAAAGCACAGAGTTGGGGTTACTGCTCCCTTGCAGAGCAACACAAATACTGACCCAGTTCAGTTCCAGGTGGGCTCATCCCCCAGGAAACCAGCCTCCCCCCACCTCAAGAGAGACCAAAACCTCAAATAAATCCATCTTAACCTATCTAAAACTTTTACATAGATAAAGCTCATAAGGTCTGCCCACTTTATCAATGAAAGAGAGATATGCACATTGGTTACTCCCCTCCCCAGATAATTATTTATATAGGGCTTGATAATAAACAAAAGGTTGCAAGTGAACACAGTCAGCTCAAAGTAAGTTCCTAAATTAAACTAAAAAACGTGTTGCATTCAAATTCTTACCCTAAACAGCTGTTCTCATCTCAGGTAAAAGTTTTGAGTTAGAGTTGATCTTTACTCTGGCCTGGGTCTGCCGCTTCTTCAAAGTATTTTGTATTCTCTTAGGGTGGGCCAGACAGCTTCAAAGGCCAGCTGAAGCCAAAGGATTGATGGCTTCTCATTGCTTAAATAGACCTCCCCCCAGGGTGAGAACCCTTGATTCCGCCTCCCCCCATTCCCATGGAAAAATACCAGTGGAACTCCTTGGAACCTGTGGAACTCCTTGGCAGAGGAGGCTGTGAAGGCTAGGACTATAATAGTTTTTAAAGAGAAGCTAGATAATTTCATGGAGGTTAGGTCCATAAAAGGCTATTAGCCAGGGAATAAAATGGTGTCCTTGGCTTCTGTTTGTCAGAGGCTGGAGAGGGATGGCAGGAGACAAATCGCTTGATCATTGTCTTCGGTCCACCCTCTCTGGGGCACCTGATGCTGGCCACTGTCGGCAGACAGGGTACTGGGCTAGATGGACCTTTGGTCTGACCCAGTACGGTCGTTCTTATGTAGTACCAGGTGGCATGGTTGCACGTCCTTTTAGGACCAAGCGCAGTTTGGGCTAACAGGATGAACAGACCATCCACAGGTCATTGGTTTGAGAACTGAGGTATTAGGTACATAAAATATCATCAATGGCCCTCATTAGCACATTAGAACTAGGAACAGATTCACACTGAATGTTTCTTTGCTTCACATATGAGAATGGTACATGCACAAGAATAGGATATATACATTCAGCAAACTAACATTAAAATTAATGTTACAGGAGGTATTCTGAATCTTTGAATCTTGCATATTCATATGCCAATTTTCCTAAAGCGTGGGGATGGGGGAGACTGACAATAGCCACATTTCAGAGGCAACTAAGCTTTAGTGGAACACATTCGTATATTGAGGTTAAATGTTAGTAAATGTGAATATATTTAATGGGGGGCAAACTTGAAACAAAGCCCCATCTCATTCTAAAGGGCAGAGAAAAATGTTACCGGCAGAGCAGATTCACTGGTGAAGCACAACCCAGCTCCGGCTTGCTCCAGAATAGAGCTCAAAGACTGAAATGCAGTAGCAAAATAAAGAGAACTTTATTCTTAACAATAATAGCACCTGGCATCTGTATATTCACTTTTCACCTGCAGATCTCAAAGTGCTTTGTTTTGCCTAAAGCACTTTGCGTTATTTTAACCCCCTGTTTACACACGGGAACCAACAGGCACAAAAGTACAGGAGAAATTTCAGGTATGTGTAAGTCACTTAGGAACCTAAGCTTATGTTTACACTAGGAGCACTCTACCCGTGTAGAACTACGTGTACATTATCCCCGCAAAGACCTAGTGTAGACACAGCTATACTAGTTTTGCACCAGTGTGGCAAATCTACTCGCCCATGCATAAAACAAGCCAACCTAATAAAAGCGCAGTATTGGTAGTACAGCTGCATGCGCACTACAAACTTTTGCCAGCACAGCTCACTCAGGGATCGCATGCTCTCAGACTCCTGACCGACAGAAATTGGTAGCGTAGACACAGGTTATGTCTTCACTAGAAACATGACAGCTATACCACTGACCACGTCAGTGCAGACACTACTACAGCGACAGGAGGGGATTTCCCTGGCTGTAATTAAGCTACCTCCACTAGAGGTAGGTTGATGGAAGAATTTTTCTGCTGACTTAGTGCTGTCTACACCTGGGTTCATATCAGCTTAACGACTTTGCTCAGAAGTATGAATTTTTCACATCCCTGAGTGACATAAAAACAGTCAACCTAGCTTTTAAGTCTAGATCTGGCCAAAGTCTAAATCTAAGACCTGACCTGGCCCATGTCTAAAACTTAGATTAGCCTAGATCAGGGTCCACCAAGCCATCAGCGGCAGGGGCCACATGCATCTCTGCACACCGGGGATCCGTGGGGGGGGCTCTGAGTGTTGTTCCCACCCTCAGCACAATTTTGCAGCTCTCATTGGCCAGAAGCCAACCAATGGGAGCTACCTGGACTGTGCTTGTGGAACAGTCAGTGCCTGGAGAGTCGTCCCCCCCCCCCGAAGGGGTGTGCTACAGAGATAAACAGGGCCCCTGCAGCCAAGCACTTGAGCAGGGGGTATGGCAGGGAGCCAGCCAGTAGCTGCCTACACTAAGCGCCTCTTGGCCAAAGCCTGCACCTGACACCCCAGCCCCTCACTCCCTGTTCTAAGTATCAACCCCCGATCTTGGTCACAACTCCCTCCCAGTCTGTGCACCTCCTCTAGGTCAGAATCCTCTCCTGCAACCATGCCCCCTCCCAGACCTGCACTCCAGTCTCTGGCTCTCAGTTGCGACCCCCTCCTTCATCCAACCTTCCACCCAGACCCTGTACTCCCATCCATTACCCCGAGCTCCCTTCTGCACCCAACCTCCATCCCGGACCCCACACCTTTTTCATCAATATCATGGAAGAGTGCAGCTCTTGACCACTTACCAAATTCTTGGAGTGGCCTCCCATCAAAAATGATTGCCTGCCCCCGACGTAGCTGCATTGCTCGGAGGTGGGAAAAATTCACATCCTAAGGAGATGTAGTTATGCCCATCTAAGCCTCCGTGTGAAAACCATCTCACCACCCCCACTCGAGGAGGTGGATTAACCACAGCGAGAGAAAAACTCCTTCCATCCCCGAGTGACGTTCCGATATGCTTGGGCCACAGAGGCAGAGCCGCAGTGCCCTTACTGTGCCTGTGCAGAGATACAGCCTCACTGTCACAAGGAACTCACTGAATGTCAGTGGGATGTAGGCTCCTAAACCAATGAGCTGTTTCTGAAAAATGTTAAAGTGACTAGCTCTAGATGAACGAGCGCAGGGGTTTTCAAACTACAGGTCATGACCCAGGAGTGGGGGGTGGAATGTTGGACACTGGGGCTCCTTGCTGCAGGGGGATCAGGTGAGCAATGGGGGGGCAAAGGCAGCTCCCTGCCTGTCCTGGCACCGCAGACTGCACTATTACCAGCAAAAAGCCTGGCTCCTAAGTTGGGGGAGGGGGCGGGAAAACGCATAGGGCTCCTTGCACTGCCCCTGCCTCAAGCACTAGCTCCACTCTCCCATTGGCTGGGAGCCTGCTGCTTCTGGGGCGCAGCATGGCCTGCGGTGCCAGGAGAAGCCGGACGCTACATTAGCCTCACCACGGAGCAGGAGCCACTCAAGATAAGCCCCCGCTGCCCCAGCCCCGACTTCCCCAAAGCTGGAGCCCCCTCCTGCACCCCAAAGCTCCATCCTCAGCCCCACGCCGGAGCCCACACTCCAGGCAAATTACATTGGGTCGCGGCCCCAACAATTTTCTTCAACTGGGTCACGAGGCAAAAAAAAGTTGGAAAACTCCTGCACTAGTAAGTCTGTGGCATTGGCAGGAGTAGAACCCGTGAGTCCTGACTCTGATTGGTTCCTAAAACCCGTTCAATCTCAAATATTTGTAAGGGATTCCGTGGGTTCTTTGAAAAAGAATCTTGTAGTATTCTCTATTCCAATCCATGAATACTGATCACTAGCCACGAACTTGGAAGGAACATCGCCCCCCTTATGTCCCCCACTCCACCTGCTCCCACCCATTCCACTCCATCTGCTTTCTTGTGTGTAGCTCACCAGACAGCTGCGTGTCTGTGCAAGCATCCCCATGGCTGCCTCGGGATGGCTGAGGACATTGTGCCAGTCAGGGAAGAGCGCCCAATAAGGGCAGGGAAAGGGCGGGCTTAAGGCTGCACATAGAAAACCATCACTTCAAAAACCCACCAAACACACACACACACACACACACACACACACACACACACACACACACACACACCACACAGCAAAGGAGCACAGCAGTCCAGAGCTTGTGCTCCGTCTTGAGCAGGGTAATTCCTGCACCACCTCTGGGAAATGCCTCACAGGATGGGCTTGCTTTAGATCCAGACTCCCAGCTCATAAACTGACTTTTGACTTCAGGAAGGACCCAGCTGCATTTGCTGTGACTTGTTGCCTGCTAAAAATGATCCGGAGCAAGGAGCCAGCTCTCCCTTTCTCCGCCCTCCTCCTCCTCCCTACCCACGCTGGGAGGGATCCAGTGTCAGCCTGTAGCTGGCATTGCAGCTGGGGTCCAGGCAAAGAAAGGGAGATTGCTGCTTGGAGGCAGGGGGCTCTGGTTTCTAACAGTTTATTAATAGCAAATACACACGCCCATGCTAAACCCACGTCCAGTCCAGCGCACGAGGAACTGGGCTCCGGGAGAGAAAGGTGAGAGCTAACAATTGCAAATTGAGGCCGTGCTTTTCCTTTGTCTGGGACCAGACAGGGTAAAGGTGGCAAACGTGGACGGCTGCAGAGCCACTTCCACCCTGTGAGCAGGGATTAACTCGAAGTCCAGCAGCTCTGCTCAGAATGCAAGGCAGCTCAGCTCCTGCAGGGCGCGGTTTCATTCATTTGATAGGGTTACAAGATCTGCCAGGAGCGTGCCTTAGCCAATACATTCAGGTTAGGATTACCAGCCATTCCAGTCTGTGCTGAGGAGTGTACTGTACTTCACCATGGGACCATAAGGAAGGTATGTTACCTACCAGGTAAGAGATGTCTTGTGTGAGCTGGGGGGGGAGGGGGGGAGGGAAGAGAGAGACAGAGTGAGTGTGTGTCAGAACACACAAATGAGAAGAGGAGGAGTGGCATGGTGAGTGGGTGTGAATCCCTAAGCCCAGATCTGGAAGGTGGGACTGCAGAGTTAGGTCTGGGGCAGTTGATCAGTTTCAGGATTCAATCCCACAACAGCAGGACCAGCTGAGGCAGAGGTTATTTCTCGATTTTACTCCCACACATGCAGCTGAGCCACAAGGGGTTTAATCTGCCAAAAAGTTGCTGGTACCAGCTGGAAAAGAGCTCTGCTTTTGTCCTCACCTTTCCATGAGCTGTCTTCGTCTCCCTTAGGAAACAGAAGTAGGGTGAGTATCTGTTGAGGTTAGGAATGTGTCATGATTTCAGAAAACTGCCTTATTTGGGAAGAGGGAGAGTACCCATGAAAATAATCTGTTCTCTCTCATCTTAGAATTGTTTTAGCGAACAGAGGGGAGCGCTGTTATTGTGCCAGCCTACGCTAATTTATTTCTAGATGACTAGACCTTAGCTCATTTCCATGCTGGCAGCGAGCATGCTATCGCCTGCTATTTCTGCATTCTTCCTCTCCAACTCTACTCCAAATCGGGTGTGGTTGCAGCTTACATACCCTAGAATAGACTCACGCTGTTTTAAAAAAAAACCATAAACAGCCTTTTTGCAATAGATCATTCTCTCCTCACCACCCCAGTATGGTTTTTTTTTAAAACAGCGTAACAGCCTTTTTGCAATAGATCATTCTCTCCTCACCACCCCAGTGCACGTGTGCGTAGACTAGCTACAGCTGAAGCATTCTGTAACAAGAAGGCATATTAGGGACTCACACAGAACACAGGGGATAAATGATCAGCTCGCAGTTGCAGAAGGGAGTTACGACTCCTTCCTGGGAAAGTCGAAGCTTCTCTACTCAGTGTTAAATGTTATATTCCATCCTCAGCCATGTTGGAGAGCCTGCATGTAGGCTAAGAGCACATTCCCTTGCTGGGAGGCTGTCAGCATGACTGAAAACCAGGCAGGTTTGACTTGGAAATCTCTATAACTTGGCACTATACATTTCTGTTTGCTTGACATTTTGTACACACACTCTCACTGCAGCAATACCTAGTAAAAGCCTTTCATTTGACATTCATAGTAAATTCCCTCCTAAAAATAAAAGAAAGACATAGCACATAAGTTACAGTCACAGCGTGCGGGCGGCGGAGAGAGGCAGGAACACACCTCTATTACTATTATTCTGTATTACTGTAGCACCTCAGCATCCTAACCAAGGCTGGGGACTATGTTATACTCTGCAAACACTGAACAGAAGACAGTCCAGGCCCCAAAGAGCTTCAGTTCTAGGACATGACACCAACACATTTTGACAAGCAGTAATATGACTCTAGGCATGTCAAATGCACCCATCCCTACAGCAGCCAACTGCAAGCTCATGTACCAAGTACAGAAGAAAGATGTTTCCACACCCAACCTCTAGCAGCACAAACACCTTCACTCATATAAACTAGAAAGTTTAGCCAAGTGTTGGTCTAGGGGTACATATAGCCATAGTCAGACATTCTACACTTCTGTGTTTATGGCGCAAAGCAATGTGAAAAAACCGTGAGTAAATAGATCAGGACCACGTGGTCTATTCCCTCTGAAGTAACAAGCAGGGATCAGCAACACCATTTTACTACCAGAAACCACGGTGAAACAATTTAAGTCTACCCTGGTATTTACAATGCAACAATCGCTGTAGTGTCTATGAACCAGTGTTTCAGCAGAGTCACTCACTGGTCACATCCTGCCACGGAATAACGGTTTGCATTATGGGAAAAGTTGTTACTATTAGACCAGTCACCGCAGTGCAACTCTGCAAGGTGTTGTCCCAGGCTGTTTATTCTGTAACTCCTTCGTCATGTGGAATTGCAAGTGGTGGCTCTCCAGGCTGAGTACCACCGGAACTGCAACTGGTTTTTAAAATGACGACTACTCTCTCCTTCCCAGTTCGTTTGCATCAATGTGTCACTTTTTTTATTTTGTCGAACAAAACAGCTTTGGTTTTTAAAGCAAACTTGCTGTAAGACCATGGATAACGCATTGATAGCAGCCGCTGCTGTAGCCTTCATGCTCAACTCATAAGCCACTTCGGAAAGCAGGGTCTCTTGTAAAGGACAGGAAGGGCGTTTTACATGCGTAAAGGCAGCTAAGAGCAGCAGAGGTGGGGCCCTGCAGTGGAAAAAGGTGCTTATTTTAAACACTCCACAAAGGTACCTGGTTCAGGGAAATCAGTTTGAGGAACTGTTCCTTACCAGCGCAGAGCAGGCTGAAACTTGCAGGGAATGTTATTCTGATGTTGTTAGTGTCTCGTTTCCAGGGACCTGATGGCCGATTCGGAACCGCCTTTGGAGCAGCATGGGGATGATGCAGGGACATCCTTAGAGCTCCAGCAGGAGGTTACAGATGCCCTGTTAGAGCCTGACGTTGCACACGCCCCCTTGGAGCTAACTATGGATGTCATGAACACCCTGCTGGAGCTGAACATGGAAGCTGCAGGCGCCCCGCTGGAGCTGAATATCACAGACACGTCCTTGCAGCAGCATGTGGATGGCACAGATTCTCCCTTGGGCCTAGAGGGTGCCGAGCCTCTGACGCTGAGCATTGAGGAGCTGGGAGAGCACTTCCAGGAATGCATCGTGGCAGTGGAGCAGCTGGAGGAGGAGAGGGACAGCCTCATCCAGGAACTCACGCTGCTCCGGGAGCCTGCCCTTCAAGAAATCAGACAAGCTCACGAGGCAATCCTGGCAGCCTACCGACTGCAGGCCAAGGTGGAGCTGGAGAGGGACAATCTGAGGAACGAGATCCGACAAGTCAAGCAGAAGTTATTCAAGGTGACCAGGGAGTGTGTGGCTTGCCAGTACCAGGTGGAAACAAGACGGCACGACATGGCCCAATATGCCGTCTATCAGGAGGAACTGGAAACCAGGGTCAGCCAGCTCTCAGAGGAAATATTGCAGCTGAGAGAGACTTGTGAAAAGCAGAAAGAACAGGTCAGGCAGCGTCTGGAGAGGCCTCAGTACCGAGGGGACAGCCATTTCTTGCAGGAGAGCCGAAGGCTTTCCGTGGAGTTCGAGAGCTTTGTGGCAGAGAGCCGCCAGGGCCTGGAAAAACACTACGAGCCGCAGCTCGTGTGCCTTTTAGAAAGGAGAGAAGCCAGCGCTAAGGCTTTGCAACAAACGCAGGGAGAGATTCACGGGCTGAAGGAGGCACTGCGACCACTGCAGGGAGAGACCAGCAGGCTGCAGCTACAGAACAGAAGCCTGGAAGAACAGATCGTGCTCATTAAGCACAAACGGGATGATGAAGTTCTCCAGTACAGGGTATGCTTTACAGGCCTATTAATACAGCTTAAACACCATTCTAGTCTAGGTCTGGTCTGTGCTGCTTCCATGGAGGTGGCCGGGGTCCTGGATTCAGCACCTGCATACTACAGTGATTGGTACTATCCAGAGATGAACGTAAGCGGGTGTGCCCTGGTACGTAGCGCCAGCAAGAGCTGGCTGAGCTGTGGCAAAAGCCAGCAGGGAGCTATTTAAAGAGCTGGCAGGAACCCGGATTGCAATAGGACAGTATCCGTAAGAAATGTGAAGTTAGTTACTTTCATCGTTGGTGCTATACAGATACCTTATACACAAGAGTTGGGAGTCTTGCTTTGAAACCCATGGAAATTAGGGTATAGAAGACACTGTACTCAGAGGCAAAAGAAAAGATGGCAGAGAATAACAGGGGTAATAGAAAGCCAGACCTCTTCTACTTGCCGAGGCATGTAGTAGCCCAAGAAAACCAGGATGTCCCCTCTCCTTGAAAGAGGCAAGGCAAAGCAAAGCAATGGCTGCTGTTAGGCAGGCAGAAAAAAAGAGAAGTTAGAAATAAAGAGGACACCAGGCGATACTGCTAGGGATTCACAACTATGGTCAAAGAAAATATTTTTCTAGTTTAACCTGACATGTTACCGATCTCCTCTCCGAACATATGGCAGTGTTATCTATGTGCCTAACAACAAAGCCAGTCCCCATCTTGCACAATATGAGAAACACAGAGGAGCAGAAATAACTTTAGCTTTGTTAGTCAAAAAGCAAATCTTAATTAAGGGCCTAAAGCACAACACAAGTTTATCACATGCATGTTCATTTCCAAAGAGTTTAAACCCTATGAAGCAGTGTCACACCAAAGCTGCTGCTTTTCAACTTGTAGCTGTTGTCTTACGTATTTGCATTTGAATCAGATGTTAAATACAAGTCCTGCTAAAAGTTTGGTTTTTTAAAAAAGCTTCCAAGCTTTGACTGATCTATTAGACACATCAAGAAACAAATCCTCTGTGTAATTCAGTGAAACGTCAGACACTTCAAGGTAGCAAAATCAATTAACACCACCAGATCTGGTCCTCTCTCTATTTAGATGTCCCAGGAGGACGTGTCTCTGTCTACTGAAAACACATAGGCATAGAGAGAGTCAAGTTTTTGAGTTTACAAAGAGCCTGAGGAAGAGCTCAGTGTAAGTTTCTCTCTTACCAACCAAAATTTGCCCAATAAGAGATATTAGCTCCTCCACCTTTGTAATAGCCTGGGACTAACAGGACAATGCTACATATCCAATATGCAAACACATGCTACTTTACAGGTATGTAATACCCACATCTAAAGATTTCTCTCTGCCTTAGACGTGCATGCTCAGATACTACAGAGATAAGCACATCACAAACAAAGAGAGATGCATCAAAACAGCCCAACTTGCAGCAGGTCACCACATAACATTTTTCCTTGGGGCTACCTGAAAAGCACCTAATAGCTTCATTTTGTGCTGAATATAGCAGCTCCTTTTATACTGAGTGAGCTTCTACAATTACAGCAGTGTCCAGAGTACCCAGTCTGCTTCTGGGGTTAGTTACAGGTGCTGGTTAGTTTATAAAGCCTTAAGTGGTCTAGGCCTGTTATTTATCCTCTCGTCTTGTTGGCATTTAAAATGCATAAACCAAATACACTATTAATACTAAGCCTCTGATGTTGATAAGAAGGGCTGCAGGCGTCTACTGTCTCAAGTGGGGCTATTTTCCCCCAAGAGCGAGAAATAATCTTCCTACAAATTTCCAGTGGTCCACTCTGGTATCCTGTATCCTCCAATGGTCACAGGTTCAGGGTTTTAAACCTTCATTATGACTACTTATGTAACAACTTTCTCTGGGGGTAGAAAGGAGAAGGGATTTCTTTCTAAACAAATGCAGGTAGTGACTGGTTTATGCCCTGAAAATAGAAGTGTTTATGCCTTATATATTTTTAAACCCAGTTGGTTTAATGATGGATATAATTCATATAAATTACTATGACTCCTCTGAATCTTAATAGGCTCTTTGCCACACCCTCTCTTAGCAACGTACACCACAGTTCAAAGTTTCCTTTTCCATTTTAATATCTGCTACCTTCATTTCCTCTCGTTCTTGTATTATGACAGAAGATAAACAAGCCCACAGCTGACCTTTTCCCTTCACCTCTATCACATCTCCTCTCTAAACATAATAATCCAACTCTAATCTTGCCTTCTATAGAAATTCTTTCCATGTCTTCAAAGCACATTCCTTACTTTTTCTATTTCGAGAATTCACTTTTTGAGACCAAACCTGAACCCACGATTCAAAGGGGAGAATTTCTGCCATTATAGACCTTAGCAGTACTTTTTTCAGTATTGTTCTCTGCTTTTCTTAACACAGCTATTAATAGAGTCTATGGCATCTATGAAATTAAGCTAGTGCCTCTTTAAAAATAAAAGCCTTTCTGAATGTCCTCAGAGCTATTTCCTTAACATGTTGGGTCTCAGTGAAAGCAACTGGCTGACTTCCTCCTGCCTTAATAGTAACAAGTGTCACACACTGTCAAAGGAGATTCAGGGGGTAGCCGAGTTCGTCTGTACAGAAAAAAACAACAAATGGTCTGGTAGCACTTTATAGACTAACAAAACATGCAGATGGTATCATGAGCTGTCTCCCTTGCCAGAGGTAATCTATAACCACTACAATAAATGTCCAATGTTAAGTATTTCACCCCCATTTTGTAGGGGAAAGAAAAGCAATTACATGTCTAGAGTGTATTTAGGGGAAGATGATCCACAATTCTATCCCCCTTTCACTCCACACCTTTTCAGCTAAGTTAAAGCAAGCCAAGGCAGTCAGTGGCTTCTAAAACTGGACTTGGATTTCATTCCCTATACCCTTTCTGAACACTGCTGTTGGAAAGCTTTTGGCAAGTTCCCTTGATCATGCTTGAAGGTAACAGATGCTGCAGGCTCTGTATGAAGAGGTCAAGCCATTTATGTCCAGATCAGCTCATGGCCTTACATCAACCTTTTCATTTTAGATTTCTCTTCCCATTCAGCGTTTGGAAAGCACAGTGCTTGCTGAAATTGACTCGTATTTCCTATTTCCACATCTCACAAGGACTCAGAGCGTACGGTCTGCCATTAATTTCCTCCTGGCAATTTTACGTTCAGATAAAAATAGATTGGATCACTCTGAAACACTCACAATTTGTTTGTATTACGCTTCGGTTATCAATTCGAGAGGCGTTGTGAGCTGACACACATCCCCCACAAACCAATAAGCCTACTGAGCATGCATTGGCACAGTCAGCCACAAGTAGAACTTCCTCCCTAGACAAACTAGGTTCCTTATCTATACTGGGGAAATAATCAAATGGGTGTCTAGCAATACTCCTGCTAATCTGGGTGGCAGCAGGCTTCACAGGTGATTACTCAGTCCCACCCAGTCAGCCAGCCCAGTGCACTGAGCCTTAAGCCTCGGACTGCGCGGGGCTGAGTCATCACCTAGGAAGCTGTGCTACCCCACAACTAAGAGGGAACACTGGTGGCTAGCCATCAGTACAGCTGCAACTGTGCAAACCCATAGGCTACGTCTACACTGGCATGATTTTCCGGAAATGCTTTTAATGGAAAAGTTTTCCATTAAAAGCATTTTCGGAAAAATCGTGTCTAGATTGGCAGGACGCTTTCCCGCAAAAGCACTTTTGCGGAAAAGCGCCCGTGGCCAATCTAGACGCAGTTTTCCACAAAAAAGCCCCGATCGCCATTTTCGCGATCGGGGCTTTTTTGCGGAAAACAGTACTGTGCTGTTTACACTGGCCCTCTTACACAAATGATTTGCACAAGAGGGCTTTTGCCCTCTTGAGATCATCAGTGTTCTTGCGGAAATTCAAGCGGCCAGTGTAGACAGCTGGCGAGTTCAGATGATTTTGCGGAAAAACTTGCCAGTCTAGACACAGCCAGAATGTAAACAGGCAGACCTGCTACGTTGATGTAAACAGGGCAAATCCTCCTTCTCCCACCCCTCCCTGTTTAGGCAACACTAAGAGCTGTGTTTCAGTTACACATTAGACATTTTCCTTGTCCACAGGAGCAGGTAGAAGAGATGGAAGAGAGACTAAGGGAGCTGAAAAATGAGGTCCAGCTTCAGCAACACAAGAACCAAGAATTGGAAGAGCTGAGGACCAGCCTACACCAGGAACTATCTATTTACAAGTCAGTTTATTTCTTTTTATTGGTAAAACTATCTAGCATGGAAAGAAAGAATGGCAAGTAGTTTTCAAGGACAGCCTTAGAAACTGGCTAAGTAGGAACCTAAAGCTCCTAGTTCCTGTACAAGCAGGGGGATGGAGTAGCACTACTTTGATGGAAAGCACTACACAAACTAGACAATACCATTAGTATCAGTCAGGGATTGGCACGCATAAGTATTGGCTAGAAAGCAGTGTGAGGCAGACAGATTAAAATGGATAGACCTTTAGCAACACAGATACAGTGAGGGCACAATTTTCTTCAAGAATGCCCCAGTTTTGAAAAAGTGTGGGAAATGTTCATGGCGATAGACAGTATCCACAGGCACAAGGGGGAATATTCCTTTCCTGGTCAAGATACCATTACTATTCCTTTTTCCCTTCAGGACGCTTCATGTTACAGAAATGCTTTACAGCTCCAAGAATTTCAAACAAAAATACATTGATTTACATCGCAAAATTTTCACTTTGGCTATGTCTACACTACAAGGTTTTTGTGCAAAAACCCGCAGAGCGTCCACACTTCAAGCACATTTTTGCGCTAGAAAAATCTAGTCAATCGACAGAACAGAGGGCTTTTTGTGGTGTAGGTATACCTCCTTCTACAAGGCATAACTCCTTGTTGCGCTACAGCTCTTGCGCAGAAAGGCTTGTGTGGACGCTCTGCAGGGGTTTCTTGCACAAAAAGAGCCTATCTGAAAAAGCACAGGTGCTCTGATGACCATTTTGTGAATGGCCATCAGAGCTTTCTTGCGCAAGAGCATCCATACAGCGTGGACATGCTTTTGCGATGCACTTTGAGGTCTAGTCGGGTTTTTGCGCAAGAACTCTTCCGCAAAAGGCTTCTTGCGCAAAAACCCTGCAGTGTAGACAAAGCCTTTGGGACACATTACGGCTACATCTACATTGGCATCCCTTTCTGGAAAAGGGATGCTAATGAGACGAGTCGGAATTGCAAATCTGCAGGGGATTTAAATATCCCCGCAGCATTTGCATTTACGTGGCTGCCGCTTTTTTCCAGCTTGGGGATAAGCTGGAGAAAAGCGCCAGTCTAGACGCGATTCTCCGGAAAATAAGCCCTTTTCCAGAGGATTTCTTATTCCTACTTTCAAGCCGGAATAGGAATAAGAAATCCTCCGGAAAAGGGCTTATTTTCCGGAGAATCGTGTCTAGACTGGCGCTTTTCTCCGGCTTATCCCCAAGCCAGAAAAAAGCGGCAGCCACGTAAATGCAAATGCTGCGGGGATATTTAAATCCCCTGCAGATTTGCAATTCCGACTCGTCTCATTAGCATCCCTTTTCCGGAAAGGGATGCCAATGTAGACGTAGCCTACCAGTTTATTGGGCTGTATGTGCTCGCTCTGGAGATTTTTAGTAATTTTCCTTGTGATGGTGGCATTCATTTTCCTTCCCCACACACAACTTTCTCCCTTTTGTAGTTTCAGAAAAATCTTCCCTCACTCCACCGATGTATACCATACTTTTCTTGGAACAATGCAGGTTGAATCTCTCTAATCCTGAGGGTGCTGGACCTCACTGGTGCCAAACCAGAGAATTTGCTGAACCACAGGAGGTCAATATTGTCTAGCAGCATTATCAACACTGCCACTGCTTCCTGGGCTCTTCAATTTAGCACAGGAGAATGAGAGCAAGGTCTGGTGGCTGTAAAACTTTCTAGAACCGTGGGAAACTTGGACACACCCATGCTAAGTGAACATCTGGCTAACTCACATCATGCCAAGCATCAGAAATTGCTAAACAGGGAACGCCGGACTACAGACGTTCCACTGTTAGTAGGGAATTGCCTCTTCCTTTACAGTAGTGTTTCCCAAATGGTGTTCTGCAAAGTAAAAATAAGGGTTCCACAAGAAAATTCCATTAATTATTTTAAATCATAAAATGTTGTAATAGTGATTTTTTTTAAAATGTGCAATTAAACAATGTTGATTTCATGATCTTGTTTATTATAATCTTTACTTATTTGTGGTCTACTTTTTCAGGTTCATATATTAGACTGTTAGTAGGGGTTCCACAAAATTCTTTCGCGTTTAAAAGGGTTCTGTGGCCAAATAAAATTGGGAAATGCTGCTTTAGAGGAAGAAATATCCTTCTGGCAATTTTGAGAGGCTAGAAGTTAATTGTATTTATCTTCCTGATCAGGTATCAGATGGCAAAGATGTAGGCTAGGTTGGTCTAAAAGTCACAGGATTCAAAGGCCAGTATTTTCAAATACAAATTCGTATCTGCACCTCCAGGTTCTCATACATGCTGCTGGTGTTCATCACTAAAAGATAGATGCCTCAAACCATATTAAGTGGCCTAAATAAAAAACCTAAAACTGGGCAGCGAAGCTTGTAAATTTGAGTTTACTGCTCGCTCCTTTGCCTATGGCCTGTATATCAACACCATTCCTCTTTCTCTGCCATAGCAATAGTTCCTCATTTTTCAAACTGTGTCGAGGATCAGTTGATCTGCCTTCTGGGTGCAAACTGCATAGTTCTGCCTGCTTATTCAGCTAACCTGATCGCTATCCAGTGCTACTCCTGCATGCCTTGCAGTACTAAAATGCTTTTTGTAATTCTCCAGATCATTATTTCATTAGAATTGGTGACCTAAGTTTACTTTGTACATTTGCAGGGGCTGCTTAGAAATCTATGGTCAGCTTTGCAACTCAGAAGAAAAAGTAGACCAAGACTGACTGATGGACTTTCTTTAGTTTAACCAGAAAATAAAGGCAGAAGAGCTTGATGTGAAGGACTGAAATATCTACAGTGGACACTTACATTTCCCTCTTTCTGCTCACCCCCTCCTAAGTAATGCATAGAAGCTATTTAAAAAGTCAGGAATATTAGACAATCGTTTGCTTGTTTATATTTCTTGAGGTGCTGCTCTGTTGATCTTCTAGCATTGTAGAAAAGAGTGATGCTACCATCCTCAAGGAGAGCACAGAAGAGTATACTTGTACTACACAATGAACATATAACGAACAATAAGATGTATGTTTTGCTGTGTTTGGAAAGCATATCTGATCTTGTTCCATAGGTGGATTGTGTAAGCCTGCACAGAAAAGAAGCCTTTTTTTTTTTTATTAAAGAAACACTTAAAAAGGGATTGTGATAGAGATGTAGCCGTGTTAGTCTGGTGTAGCTGAAACAAAATACAGGACTATGTAGCACTTTAAAGACTAACAAGATGGTTTATTAGATGATGAACTTTCATGGGCCAGACCCACTTCCTCAGATCATTATTTGATCTGAGGAAGTGGGTCTGGCCCACGAAAGCTCATCATCTAATAAACCATCTTGTTAGTCTTTAAAGTGCTACATAGTCCTGTATTTTAAAAAGGATTATTCTTGTTGCACCATAAACGGGACTGTTTCTTTTGTAGCTAAAAAAATGACTGCTGTATTGTGACACGTTCTAGTAGGGTCCATAAACTAAGTTCCCATATAAATGGTTTCCACTCTATATAAAAATCTCACCTTCAAAATAAGGAGTCAGGGTTTAAACTTGCAGGAGTAGGGAACCTTTTTAGAGTTGGGGGCCGCTGTCCCAGAGGGGGAAAAAAAATAAAAATCAAATCAGTTAGGGACCGCACACAAGTGAGAAGCAAAGCGAGAAGCGCCTGATGGAGAAGGAAAGAGACACTCCTCACATTCTCCTTGCACGCCAGAGCCTAGGGGGGCCCAGGCTAGATTTTGTATGCTCAGCCCTATGGGTGGATGGCAGAGGAGCTGGAGTGCCAGCGCAGGCTCCTTGAGGCAGGGGAGATCCCTGAGAATCAGGGGCAAGATCCAGGCAAGACAGGAGCCACATCCAGCCCCCAGGACTAAGGTTCCCCACCCCCAGACTAGTTATATATTCCAAATCACATTCTGCCTCATGGTGAGTACAATATGGTCTTATGATCAAATCAAAACAGCTATACATTTCTCTCACCATAATGATCAGAGGACAAAGGGATGGAGTTTAACCATTTAATCGATAAGCTGATATTTATCAGTTATCTCCATCAATTAAGCTGTTCATAGGGCTGCCGGCAGCTGCAGCAGCCTTGGGAGCTGTATGTGGCTGGGGGCAGCTGCCAGCTTAACAGTCCAAGAGCGGTCAACTGTGTAACCAATAAATTCTATTGGTTACACAGTTAATGCTTTTATTCATTTTTTTTTACATCCCTAGGATGTAAAACTAACAGCCCATTAACAATTGGTGGCGGTGGTGATGGGGTTTAAGACCCACGCCTGGTTTACCCCTATCAGTGTAGCCAGAGTTGGAGTAATTCTTCTGTTGACCTATCAGCCTAGTTACTGCCTCTTGGAGTGCGTGAATTAACCCGCAGCACTAGAAAACCCCTTTCCATTATTGTAGCATGTCTATATGCCACAGCACATCAGCATGTGTAGAGTAAATACAGCCCCATTCAAAGCATGTGGGGAGATTGACTCTGCAGTAACCCCTATTCAGAATTACACTTCCGTTTGTTCATGATTTCTTGAAGACCAAGCTTTACCTCAATGGTGAACGAACCAGAGTCAATATAAAAGTTACTGCATGCATGCTACAAAACCCTGAATTTTCTATTCTGACCTCACAGATATGAAGGTTTGGTCTCCCATAGCTACCAAGCCATTAGAGGGCGTGAACAGAAGAACTTTCTAAAGGCTAAATTATGGATAGCTCTGTACATGTACTCAACTGGGGGGTCTGTGAGCTCTTTCAAGGTAGCCATGGGGCCCTCTGCAGGGCTGAAGCCCTGATCCATAGGGCCCCTTGCAGCCCTGATCCCATGGTCAGAATTGGGGACAAGGAGAGCACTGCCCCTCCCCACCCAAAAAAGCCTGCAGCAATAGAGCAAGGTAATCCTGGGATCATATCTTCCTCCCCACTGTCTCCTCTCCCTACCCCCTGCTCAGGTTGGAGGTGGGAAGCCAGAGCTGGGCAGTTGATGCTCTGGCTAGTGCCATGCAGCAGACAGCGGCACTATTCCCTCATCTCCTGCTGGTTCCCTGGGTTGAAGCTGCTCCCAGAGACTGCCAGTAAGAGCTATCCGGCAGACCCTCTGGGAGCAGGGACTGCAGGAGAGCCTTCCCAGTGCACAGCTCCTAGTATCCTTCTCCCTAAACCCGGAGCTAGCCCCCCTGCCCAAGCACAAACTCAAGTACCCCATCTACACAATCCTTAGCCACCATGAGCAAGCCCGCTGTCCACATACAAACCCTAGCCAGCCTCCTCCAGGCATCCCCAGCCACCCTGTCTGCAACTGAAGCAGTTTCCAAACTTTAATTTAAACACCCCACAATCTTTGAGTTCCAGTTTTTGTTTGTGCCTCCCTTCCCCTACTCCCAAACAGGTTGGGTGGCCTGCTGAGATGAGTCAGGGGTAGAGGTGGTAATCTCTCCCCCTGCCATGAAGAGGTGACTCAAGCCCCACTAGCCCTTGCTACCCACCCCAAATAGAAGTCAAACTACACCTATGCCCTGAGGGCCCAGCAGTTTTTAAACAGCACATGGGGGAGGACATCAAGAAGAAAAAAAGGTCGAGAACCCCTACACTAGAAGGAGTGGGCATGAGAACTCCCTTCATTCCTCACCTAACACCACAGCCACATTTTGGCTATTGGGGGTACAAAGAAGATGTTCCGTGGCACTGCTGCAATGCTAATAGCTCCAGAGGCTGATGTGGAGGAGTTGCCATGGTCCTGCCTCCTACACTTAAATATTGTCCTGGCAGCATTTGCTGGTCACATCTTTTATAAACCTTCTAGGAAGTGTTTTATGCCCCCACACGCTGTGCTTGGAAAGAATCTCTATCGTAAGAGGTACAATTTAGCCTTAATACACATTCCTGAAGGGAAGCTTCTTCACAAGAATCAAAGCAGCACACCGTTTATGTAGAAAACCAATTTATTCCATCTGAAGCACTTACACATAATTAGTCATGGAGAATAACAGCCTACTGAGAGATGTGCAGAAGCTAGTGGTCAAGGACTAATTCCTTAAAAAAAAATGAAATTCATCCACATTTCGTTAATATTTTTACATATACCAGCTACCAATGGTGTTTTCAGATTACTGGACATGCCACCTGTGGTACATCAGTCAGGTAAAAACATACAATTTTACAACTTGGTGGTCCCAAGTTTTAAAAACCATTTCACAGAAAGGAAAGAAAATATATGAAAACACAGCTCAAGAACACACAACAGACCAAACTACTTGGGTGGTGAACAATGATCCGCAGGAATAGCTACAATATCCAAAATTCTGTGTTGCCCACCAGAAGGGGTGGGCAGGAGACAGTGAAAATCCAGAATTAAGGAAAGATTTCTAGTGCTGGTTCAAGTCAGAATCTGCACTTGAAAATACTGGCGCACAGACTAAAAATCCCAATATTCTCTTATCAAGAAGAGGACAAGAGACTCCATGTAACTGCCCAAAGATTAAAACCCCTTGCCATCATCTCAGGTACACAATTATGTGGCTCTACCCCTCAAACCTTGAAAGTTAGCCAGAAAAGTTAGCCTGCAGCTGTAGCATTTAAGCAGCAAAAAGAGAAAGCTCCCATCCCCACTTCTTCAAGGCATCTTTGTCCAGCTTTATACACAATAAGCTGCTGTAGGAAATTTAAACAAGGAGCTATAGCACGGTACCAGGTCATTTGGGCCAAGCCCTTAAGTTAGAATACTCACTGTTGGGAATTAAAAGCACGGTTGATGGTATCTACATAGGGAAGGCTGAACACAGTCTATGTATGTCTCAAAACCAGTGTCAAATCAATATCAGAGCTGGAAGGGAAGGGGGAGGAGGGGACGAGGACTAAAAACAGTGTAAGGTCAGTCATCTAGGACCCTTGACCTTCTGGATCCACACTTCCTTCAGGATCTTCATCATTATATATGTTCTCAGCCTGCAAGATATAGGGAATGGGGAATTGGAGAATCACTTAATATGACAACACTTATCTGAGTTCAAGGGATTCAATGTGAGCACTTCCAAGGACTACAGTTCTAGCAGTCATTCATCTCCAGATACTGAGCTCTCACCATAGATCCCTCAAGGCTATTTAGCACTTACAGAAGTGTTACTATAAATATGCCTGAACCTTCTCATAATGGCCATGTTTTCCACATTATTGCTTTAAAATAGAGTTGTGATAAAGGACAACTGCAGTTTGTATGCAATACACAATTAGGGACTTGACTCCTTAACTATAAATTAGTATCATGAAGAATACAGATCTCTTCCTTGTAGTTATTTCATACTCTACTTTTACACAGTGCTTTTCAAAAGATCTCAGAGCACCTCAACATGATATTAAACCCTCTGAGAAGTGAGTATTAACCCATTTTACAGGTAGATAAGCAGCAGGTAAAAAAGGAACTGTGAGGTTATAAGTCACTTAACATTAGTTTCTATCTGGAGCTATATACACAACAATCTAAAATTAAATCTCCCCCTCCCACTCTATTTATCATTTGTAAGCATTTCACTCACTTTGGACAATGAAACTGGTCAACTTCTCCTTTGGCTCCCATACACTAATACAGTGTTTGATTTCCAAATACTGGAAGGAAATGGTTTACATCTGCCCCCACCCCGCCAACACATTTTTGGAAGTGACACACATGAAGTGGTTGCTTTAATGTTTGTAAAACAAAACCTAAATCAACATCAGCATTGCTGAGCAGGCTTGGCTAAGGCTGCACAGCAAATCAGTATCAAAGTAGAGAATTCTATTTTGCTCAACAGGTCTGAGAAAGTGTCATTTACCACACAACCACTACAAAGAATTACACCACATAGCTTACCATTTGCCAGACTTGCATAATATTGTCTTCTGATACAGAACAAATTACCCAGGGTTCATTGGGATTCCAGGAGAAATCTGATATTTTTGCAGTGTGACCACCATGAATAAACTATATTTGGGGGGGGGGGGGGGGGAGGAAAAAAAGAGCATTCAGGTCTAAAGTGCAGATATGAAGTGCATATCAGATCCAGAGTTATAGTTTGAAAAACTTACCAACAGCTCTGGTGGGCCATCCTCTGCATCTTCAGGGGACTGCTCTTCCCCAATTTTACTGTAGTAAAAACAAGAGCAAAACGTAAACAGATTTTTCAGAGCACCCAAGGGAATTGATTCAGACAGACAATAGCAGGTGTCACTGTCAGTTTACGACTTACCTCAAGTCCCACACATTTAGCCTACGGTCAGTACCACTGGAGGCCAAAATGGTTTCATTATGAGGAGACCACTGAACCTGCACAAATAAGAGCATATCAAAAAGGAGATAAATCTAAAGAAGCCATGCATGACACAGTGAAGCAACGTCTGCTTTATCGCATGAACGCAATTTTCCAGTTTCAAGTTGCAAAGGCATCAATTCAGAAGATGAATTTTGCATTGATAATGCTTCTACATGGAAGAGGGGATTGTGAACACTCATGACTGCCTGCCTAAAGCTTGAATGAGGCAATGTGCTCAGACTCCATGGAGCTGCAAAATGCAGTCAGTCTTCCTTCTTACGTCAGATGCCCACTGAAAAGCACTGCATCCTCCAAGGAGGCTGCTTGCCCTCCTGTCTGCAATGAGAGTTACACTTACACAAACTGCACTTATGTGAAATGTGAGGAAAGACCACGTGGAGCACAAAAGAAAAAAAAGCAAAACAGAGGGAAAGAAATTCCACAATCGTATCTATACGAACCTAAATACTAGAGTTACTGCCTCCAGCTGGAAAAAAAAGTCTATTCCTGTGAATATGACTTAATCAGGTAGCTGGGTCAGAAGATGAGGGAAGAGCCTAACATTCCAAGCACAGATCGTCCAACAATGCATATGAAAGCTATCAAGAGTTCTATTTAGAAGCCTTTAGCAATCCTGTTACCCAACAAGCCCCTGCATTTTTTTTTTCTAATCAGTCTTTCATTTTGCTACTCTTAGACAATTATCTTCACCTGCCATCTTCTCATACTGAGAATGCTGGCTTGTCTAAAAAAGATGTCCTGCCTTCCCAATTGCTCACTGCCTCTAACTGACCTTCAAAATCCCCATTCTTGGTCACCAGTTTGCACTCTAAATAGTTAATAAAATGATTGCACCTTTCTAGAGGGCTCAAAATCTGCTGCAGCTCCTCACTGCAACTAGTTACTGAAAAGAGAGTCACAAAGATGAACTAAAAACTGCCACTAGTTTTTAAATACAAATATCATGAGTAACAAAAACAGTGGAAGAAAAAAACTAAATGGACTAATTTTTAATCAATACATTTTAAGGTCATGCAGGGTGTCAATGGTTTGGAGACCCAACTGCAGGAAACAAAATCAAAATAATTCCCCTAAAAATATACCATTTTACTGTACCTGAAATATTTCGTCTTTATGCGATTCAAATGAGTGCAGCTTCAGTTTTAGGTTTCTAAGATCCCATAAAGCAACAGTCTATTAAGGAAGATGAAAAATAAAGTTAAGGGAAGTTACTAGAGTTACCAACATATACACTTGTGTGAACATGAACTTAAGGGATATCATCTGTCCACATTCAAGACAGACTATACCTTATCAGCAGATCCTGTGGCCAGAATAAACTCACTATAGGGATTGAAAGAAAGGCAATTCACTTCAGCTGTGTGAGCATCCACAGAGTGGCTGGGTTTGGAGGTGTTGTTTGATCGGGTGTCCCAACTACAAAGAGAGGGGAATATGATGAGATATAAAACTTTTGCTGTCCAGTATCCTGAGAGGGGGAAATATTCCCAACTTTACAAGTAAAGGTACTACCCACGTACATCATGAGCTTCTGATCATCAGCAACAGATCCAAAGAGGGATTCATGGAGCAGGTGCCAAGATACATCTTCCACTACTGCTGTATGCCCTGTAAAGATGGTCTTTGCATCCACCACTTTACCTTCCTTCGGAACAGCGCTAATATCCCACAAGCAGATGGTCTTAAAGAAAAAGTGTATCTTTAAGATAGAGGAACTTTCCTCACCTCCCCCCCACCCACTCCCAAAAAAGCATTAGTTAATCAACTAAAGTGCAACCAGCACTCTGCATATATTTACAATACTCACATGATCATCAGAAGCACTGAGCAAATGCCCACTCAGATTTGGGTTCCACGACAGTCCATAGCCTTCCTTTTGGTGTCCACGAAGACGGAGATCAGGATTACACTCTCCAGAAGGGTCTGCAATGGTAGTGTCAGAAAACTTCAGCTCCTAACAACTCCACTAATGCAAGCCCACCATAGAGCACCATGACAAGAGTGCCACAGTACTTCCTCAACCTCTGCTTTCAGATCTTAAACAGGATTCCCACTTTAGTCTCAAGTAGAACCATTTCATTTTAAGCAGTAGAAAGAACCAAGACACCCTACAAGGCTAAAACAAAAAAAGTGTCAGAACTTTTACTGCTAAAAAGGAAGAATTATATTTCAAACATTAAGGTAGTTCTGACTAGCTCTATTCTGGAGTAGGGTTCCATTATGCTAGGTGCAGAACAAAATAAAGACAGCCCTCACTCCCTGTCTACAATCTCTAAGTCAAGAAGTAATTTGTCAGGTTGCACCATGAAATATAACCCTCAGTTACTGTTCTGATAATAATCTTTCATGAATTAGCTAGGTCAGTTTTCAATTAAGTTCCCAAAACCACACATTTTGTACATTAGCAGTGATCTTCCTGTGCTTTTCCAAAAGAGGTCAAATTAGATTTTTAAACCTGCCCCGCCTTACTTTGCTTATGCTGTTTGCAGGTGATTTTACATCCCGGTTCGTCAGGTTAATAGCTCAGCCACCCAGCAAACAAAACAGCTTCCAACTGGCCCCTGAATATCCTCCATTATCACAACAGGTGAAATCCCAAAATTGCCACCATGAAAAACTGATAGTGGCACCTCACCCAAACAACAAATATATTTAAAAGTTAGATTATAAACAACACATGACAGAGAATGCAGTGAGGCAGCAACTGATGACACATATCAACTAGTTCCTTGGAGAAGTTCTTCTACTCAACTAAAAGATTTGTTTTAATACTAAACATTAAAAACAAAAACTTAAACTTCTATTCCTTCTCCTACTCCCTCCCTCCAAACTCATAAGATCTAGTCACAAAAGTTTGTGCTCAATTTTGAACTGTGGTAAGAGAGAGCTATAGACACCTGGTTTAGAGGGGTGTTTGGTATAGTCAAAGACTAAGACATCACTGGATGGAGTCTTTGTAGCAATGATGCAGGGATTCTGGGGCATGTAGCGTGCTCTGTTCACTTCTCCTTCATGGTTGATCTTGATTTCAATTTCGATTTTCCCACTAACAGAGCCAAAGCCTCCAAACTCTGGAAATAAGGAGCAGATAGCTGTTAATGGTGAACTGAGCATGCAATTCAAATCAAAATATAAGAACTCAATAAGGGCAGAGAAGTATCTATATGGATTGTAGGACAATACGTGGTTCTGAAGCTATGTTCACAGAAAATAAGTCAAGAGAATCTGATTCAAATACTTCATTTTTTGTTGTTACAGCAGCACATTAAGGTTCCTAAGTAGGGATGTAAAAATCCTGCTTAATCAGCTGATTAAAAAAGTTTTGTTTAGCCGGTTAACCGCATAAACAGGGGTGGACTCACCCTCCCCATCACGGGCAGGCTGCTCTGGAGCACCCCTCACGCTCCTTCTGGTTAACTATAACCAGTAAGCATCACCTGGTTACCCATAACCAAGGCAGTTAATTATTCTGCTAACTATTTCAACTAAAACATTTACAACAAATTTATTGCTGGTAAAGGTGCAAGACTAATCATCTCTTTTAAAACTATCTGTTCTACAAATCAATGCTGTATGTTGGGAGACCCATTAGAACATATCTGTTCTTAAACACAACACAGTTTGAGTCTTATCCAGTTAGACTGTACCAAATTTTCTTTGAAAAAACACCACACTGTCCTTTAAGGTCTGAAGTTACAGCACAGCACAATTTTGTTTAACAGTTCAGCCAATAAGCCTTTAGCCTATCCCAAGGCTGCCTGAGGAAGACACAGGACCTCATTAGAAAAATCTGGCAGGCAACTGCAAGTCTAGGAAAGAGAATAGGACCTACCACCACTGATCTGGCAGCAGGGGACCAGAGATGAGAAAGGTGTCAAAGTGACAGAATCCCTGGACAGAGTTCCTGAACTCTCTTCCACAGTGTTGGCACCAATCTACCTACTCTTGAGTGGATTCACAGTAGATTTATCTTCCTTTTCTGAAGGGTACTGAAACCACATTGGAATCTGGCCCATGAATACAAGAAATTACACTTTCAGAGAGAAAGTTTGTTTTCAGATAGAAAACTCAATTCACTAAATATCAACTCAACTCACAGTAAAACGGCAAGTTTTCTTGGACATTAAAAATAAAGATGTTCACATTCTTTATAAATGTTTTTAGAATAAACTAAACAGTTATAAGTGAGAGGAGCATAACTATTTAAACATATGCTTAAAAATAGAAATCTGTTTTCTATTCATTTATCTTCTATTTTACAGAATGGAACTGAGGTAGAAAGGTTACATTAAGCAACCCACACAAGACCCAAGACCTTGCCATGGGTGTGCAGACAACACCTTCATTAGTGGCACTGATTAGGTCAACGGTTTTTGGCTCTCTCATCTAGTATTCAGTTCAATAGGCCATACTGCCTCATGTGGAAGAAGGAGGAATGGCAAGTATCTGGGTTATAAAAAGTCAGATGACTAAAATAAATTCTTTGATAGCCTTTTTGAAGCTATGTTTAGCATGTGATTATGAAATTGAGAGCAAGCATCGGGCAGTATATTCCTTGAAAGAGGTACTAATGTGAAAGTCATTAAATCAAAACATAAGAACATAAAAATGGCCATACTGGGTCAGACCAAAGGTCCATCCAGCCCAGTACCCTGTCTGCTGACAGTGGCCAATGCCAGGTGCCCCAGAGGGAGTGAATCCAACAGGTAACCATCAAGAGATCCCTCTCCTGCCATCCATCTCCACCCTTTGACAAACAGAGGCTAGGGACATCATTCCTCACCCATACTGGCTAACAGCCACTAATGGACTTAACCTCCGTGAATTTACCTAGTTCTCTTTTAAACACTGTTATAGTCCTAGCCTTCACAACCTCCTCAGGCAAGGAGTTCCACAGATCAACTATGCACTGTCTGAAGAAGAACTTCCTTTTATTTGTTTTAAACCTGCTGCCCTTTAGTTTCATTTGGTGGCCCCTAGTTCTTATATTATGGGAACAAGTAAATAACTTTTCCTTATTCACTTTCTTCACACCACTCATGGTTTTATAGACCTCTATCATGTCCCCCCTTAGTCTCCTCTTTTCCAAGCTGAAAAGTCCCAATCTCTTTAATCTCTCCTCATATGGGACCCTTTCCAAACCTCTAATCATTTTAGTTGCCCCTCTCTGAACCTTTTCTAATGCCGGTATATCTTTTTTGAGATGAGGATACCACATCTGTACACAGTATTCCAGATGTGGGTGTATCATGGATTTATATAAGGGCAATAAAATATTCTCCGTCTTATTCTCTAATATCCTGTTTGCTTTTTCTACTGCTGCTGCACACAGCGTGGACGTCTTCAGAGGACTATCCATTACGACTCCAAAATCTCTTTCCTGATTAGTTGTAACTAAATTAGCCCCCATAATATTATATGTATTTTTCCCCCCCCCCAATGTGCATTACTTTACATTTATCCACATTAAATTTCATTTGCCATTCTGTTGCCCAGTCACTTATTTTGGTGAGATCTTTTTGAAGTTCTTCACAGTCTAAACAAACCATTTTAGGACCATGATTAAAAGGTTTTCGGGTGTACAGATTATCTACAAGCTTCCCATCTAAATTAAAAGTCACAAGTATTCAAAGATTGTGATTCAATACAATTATGAAAAAAATTAAGGATTAAAATACTGAGGGGAAGAGAAGCAGCATGACAGATTTGATACATCTCTGGAAAACAAATTACCATGCGAAGTATTTTATTAATTAGAATCCTGTTCATGAACAATACTGAAATCCAAAGATCAAAATGTCAATTGCACATTCCTGGCTTCTAGCAATAAAGTGCACAGCAAACAACTGGACTGGAAATGACCCACATAATGTAGAACAATTGATTAAACTGACTAAAATAACCATTTCTTATAACAAGTAGGAATACTGGCAGCCAAACAAGACTGCAGATAACATGGGATCCAAACCCAAAGTATTGAACTATTTAAACAGGACAATATGCCCTCTTCTCTTCATCCCTGTTAGTAAAATGTAACCTTTTCTCTTGTAAGTGAAAAGTTTCCTACAATGTAGCATATGGGTTACAGAAGTACTGTGTAGAAATCCATGAGAAAAGCTTAACTTCTTCCTGGTGATTTAATAGTGAATTTAATTTTATTTTATGAATCCAAAGCTAAGAAAAAAAAGACCAAAATCTAGTGAAAAAAGTGTTAAAACTCCACTTTGTTTACCACCTTTGTCACTTACCTCCTTTCTCACTATCATAGTGTGAAGCATCAAACTGTGCATCATCATTGGGCAGCTGAACACTGGCTATCACAAGATGGTTTTGTTCATCTGAAGTGTGGGTCCCCAGGACTAGCCGGTGAATACTGAAATCTTTGCCTTCTGGTCTACAACAAATCAAGGGAGATACACCCAGCTGTTACTAGACCATCAGAATGAGCCCACTGCCCAGAAGTTATCCCTTTACAGGTTCACCAATCAATCGACTGTGATGTCCAGCAATGCAGTGAGGCTGCTGCTAAGACAAGCTCCCGAGTCCCTGCCTACCTCACCCCCACACCACTTCCAGAAGCAACTAGCACTGACCTGTGGGCGGCAGCAGGGGTCTCAATATGTTGCTCCTGCCTCCAAGCACCACCCCCATAGCTCCCATTAGCTGGGAACGGGGAACTATGACCAATGGGAGCTGAGGGGGCAGTGCCAGCAAAAGGACAGCACATAGAGCCATCTGCCCTTTCTCCCACCCCATAGGGCCATAGAGGTTCATTGTCCCTTCCAAAAGCAGTACGGGGCTGAGGCAGGCAGGAAGCCTGCTTTAGCCTCATTATACCACCAACAGGAGCTATTTGCAATAAGTGCTGCCTGGCAGAAGCCAGCACCCCTTACCGCCTCCTGCACCCTGAACTCCAGCCCTGAGCCACCTCTGGCAGCCAGCACCCCCTACCCTTTCCTGCACCCCAAGCCCCCTGCTCTAGCCCAGAGTCCTTGCCTGCATCCAGACTCTCCTCCCAAAGCTTGCACCTGCTCACCCTCTCCTGCCCCAGACTCAGCCCAGAACCACACACTGCAAAGCACAGCGCCCCCTGCTGAGCCCCAATCCCCTGCTCAAGCCTTGTGAATATGGGGGTGGAGAACCTACAATGAGTGAGTGGGGGATAGAGTAGGACTACATGGAAGGGGCAGGACCTTGGAGAGGGGACAGGGTAGATTTGGTTTGCCCTTAAATTTAAAAAAAAAAATCTTGGGCATAAAAAGGTCAGAGATCACTTCTTTACAAAAACATAACTACTCACTCATTTCAGTATTGTCCCTGCTCTCCTACTGAGATATGGAAGCAAGGTTGTTTGTGGTGAAGAGATTTCCTATTTCAGTGGTCACCAACCAGTAGATTGGGATCTATCGGTAAATCTTGGAGCCTCAGACAAGTGATCCTGATGGGTTTGGCTGTGAGGCTCTCAAGTGCCTGCACTTTAGCTGTCCCTCCCCCACTGCCCAGCTGCTCCTGCCCAGAGCCCCTGAGCTGCTCCAGGAGCCTCCTGCTTATTGTGCAGAATGGGGGAGACAAGAGGCAGGGAAGCATTGATGTCACTCTGTCCCCCTCTTCTGTACCCCATCTTCACAGAGTGAGGAGGGTGAGGACTTGCAGAAGGGGTGGAGCAGGGGTAATTGGGTTTCAGGTAGATCCTGGACTGAAATTCAAAGAGTGATCTTGTGCTTAAAAAGGCTGGAGACCACTGTCCTCTCTCATACTGGAGTCCTTATAGCATCAAAGTTCACTTGTTTTCTTTGCCCATCTATAGTATCTCTGATATTCCCCCAAGGAGCTTCTAGTGGAGTAAAATCTTGAGGTTTATTAGCACTTTGAACAAGCAGAAGATGGAAAATAAATTGGTTCAGTAATTTAGGGGGATGACAGTGATTACTTTTAAGTTTGTTTCTGGGGTAGGATGGACTGGAAGAGATCAAAGAACAGTTATACAGCCGGTCCTCGAGTTACGAACACGATCCACACTTACGAACAGCACGAATGGGGTCCGACTTACAAACAAATGGAGTTACAACCAAGTGTTTGGTACGTAACTTGTGAGTAAGTAGGGGACCGGCTGTACTTTAAATAGAGGTGAAAATATTCTGCCAAACAGCAGTTCATTTTTTAAACAAAAAGGAGTGGAGATATTGGCTAACATGGTGTGCCGTAACAGTCCTCAACTCACTAAGGATAAGGCAAGAGCACAAATTGCTGGTCATGGAAGACAGCAACTACAGAGTCTTGATGCAATGTGAAACGCAATAGTGACTTTTTTCATCATTCAAAAAGTCAGAGGATAAATTTACCTTGTTACATCAGGAAGCCACTGAGCAGTCAAGCTGGGCCACTCCAGAGCATGGGTCATTACCAGATCATACAGGAAAGGAGTGTTCTTTTTCCAAATTTTATATTCCTCATTGATCACACGTTCCTCCACCGCATCATCAAAGGCTGCTAAAGTTTTTTAAAGATGCACAAAATAAATATGGACAAGTATTTATAAATGGTCAACAAGACAATGAAATTGGGGGGGGGGGGGGGGTCACTGCCCCACAGAAGAAGAAAAAAGTCAGTCAGAGGCCACACACACAGGTGAGAACAAAAACAAAATCTTCACACACCCTGACGTGGCCGCAAACTGAGAAGGAGAAAGACTCCCCACCTCTCCTTTCACACACCAGAGCCTTGAAAGGGACAAGTTTAGTAGATTGTGTGCTCCAGCTCTGCAGTGGGGGGGGGGGGGGGGGGGTA